TAATGTAGGGACGCACGCGAGCGAAGCTAGGGTAAGCCAGTAATATAATATAAGTAATTAATGTTTTATGATATAAGTTATACGCGATAATTAGTTAATATAAATAAAAAAAAACCTGTTTATTTTTACTCTTATACAAACAAAATAAAAGTTTGTAAAAAAAAGGTAATAGCATAATTAGAAATAATGGTAATTTATGTACATAGATATATGTAAATCTATCATATAAATCCTTTCTACTTTTTATGTAACGTAGTATAATATATTTTTTGTAATTTTTCTTTCCGGGATGAAAGTGCTTACTTATGTCCATATCTAAAATGCAAGTAAGAATTAAATAGGTATAAGGTATCTGATGCTTAATCGTCGTAGACCAATTTAGCAGATAATAGAAGAACAATTAAAAGATATTCGAGCGAAAAGAATATATTTCTAAGATATTTCTCGAATATCTTGACATTTTATCGAGATATTCGAAATTGAATTAATGCAAATTTATAAGTTATACAAGTTGACTGGAACTTTATGATAATATTGTAATAAGTAAGAAAGTGTATAAAGTAAATGAAATTAATTTTATTAGAACTGTGGTTTAGAAGTTGTATTTCGACAATTTTACTATCGAAATTTACTACAATTTCTCAGAGATGAGATATTTTCTCGCAGTAAAAAGTATCCTATACGTTGACCCGGATAACCAACTATCATTATACCAAAATTTAATTCTATCTAGTGGTTTTCTCATAATGCGTTCGTTCCTATAAGACAGACAAAAATTCTAAAAACTATAGATTCGGCCTATATTGATAATAATATAACCTTTTTAATAAGATTTTCCAAAAAATATTTAATGTACAGATTCGACTAAGTTACGATTTTATCATACGTATAGACTAGCATTGCCCGCGGCTCCGCCCGCGTTCAGATGACCAAAAACCTAATTCTTAGGTTTTACATATTAGAAGGTATACTCTTACAATTCAGTTTTTGTGTTTTTGTATTTTTTTCTCAGAAATGAGATATTTTCCCGCGGTAAAAAGTATCATATATGTTGCCCCGGATAACCAGCTATCACCATACCAAATTTTATCAAAATCCCTCCATGGTTTTTCTGTGATGCGGTAACAGACAGACAGACAAAAATTTTACAAACTATAGATTCGGCCTCTGTATCCATAATAATGTTTATTTCAATAAGATTTTCCAAAAAATATCTAATTTTCAGATTCGGCTTGGTAATAATTTATATTATATGAATAGAAAATTCATATGATTGTGTTGAAAATAGAAATAAAAATCGTTGTCATAGACATAATCGTCATTCTCTTATATTCTTCAACGATTGCAGAATGTCATCTAAATATTCTGATACATATGTACCTATTTAATGATGGGTTTAAGATCTTGCCTAATTAATATAAAGAAGTCTTTGTTAATTGAATTTTGAGTAGGAAATTGTCTCTGTAGCTGCATATATAAAAAATCTGTTTCTAACACTATACTCTAAAAAAGCTCTGGTACGAATAAAACGCTAATTTAACACAATTTAATTAGTTCCATTTGTAACTAAAAATTTGTGTGATTAAATCTTGAACGTTGATTTTAAATTGCTTCTAGTACGTAGTATCGGCTCAGTTTTCTAATTCATACAGTTGTCTAACAAAGGAGTCTAGACGAGACAATCGTGCGGGGTGTTCGAGGTGTCACGAAAATAACTATTGCGAAACCGAATGTCATACTTACTTTTATTCGACATTCGGCAAAAGGCTATAGGGCAGATCTCGGAATCTGTTCAATTTTTAAATTAGTTTTGGTCATTGACCCCAAACCGAAAGAAAGTCGGATTAGGGTTTCGGTTAAGTTCTTTAACCGGTTAAAATCCGGAAAACGGTTTTTGACGAATCTAGGTTCCATAATCGAAATTAATCTGTTAAAATGAGTTTCTGTGCGTTTACATTTGGTGAATATTTGATAATGGTGAATTGCTCATTACGAGTATGAATGAACTAATCGGTTTATTTCGGTATTAACCTAAGTCTAACATTTACTCTACTAACTCTAAGAACCGTTACTATTACGTTAAACGGTTCGTTTTTATTCAGCGGTTAATGATCAAGCGACGAATTAACCATTAAATTACGGAAATTATACGTTTTTTAAACTGGGTCCAAGCCCTGTCATAGGGTTGTTGCATACAATTGTAACTTATCACGAGATGGGACTACAGTGCTTTAATTTTAAACCTTAAATTTGATCATACGACGTTTGAGTCGATCAAAACTGCATTTTTTCACGTTTTAAAACTATAATAAACTAGCATCGATATTATCGATCTATTACCACACGAGAGCAGAACATGTATAATTGTATAATAAATGCTTAACTTCATGCGCGTTCTTTACATTTATAACATTACTTGTTTTTGCCCACGACATTGCTCGCGTGATAAGCGGGCGGGGTTCAAGGGTCTGTGTCCAATCAGCTGTTAAAGGGTGAAAAGGTAACAGACAGACTAATGATACTTTCACATTTATAATATCAATATGGATATGGCATTTTCATACAAAGTAGTCTTAATTAATAATTTCTTCGTCACAGGACATGTTATAATTTTACAGATTCCTGTCATTCGTAATAGTATTTTTTTCTAACAAAAGCGCTTTCAATAATATGGTTCATCGTCTACCAAAAACTTTTACACTTAAGATTTTTATACTAGCATAGGTAAAAACGTATATAAGTTTTGATCTAAAAATTTTATTATCATACATTTAACGTGAGCCATTTTAGAGCTTCGTCAGGATTATACTCGTACTATAAAGACGCTTTTTTAATGATTTCATACTCCACCCGACTTCAAAAAAAGAGGAGGTTAATTATTTTATTTTTTTATTTATATTATTTTATTATTTAGAATTAGAATTATTTATTAAAAATTGTACCCTACAATATAGTTTAGAATTTTACAGAATTTTTGGTAAGGAAGAAATTATTGGATACATATAATAAGTAAGTCCATTCATAATGCGATAAATATTTGACGACACGTTTGGCTCAGTTTGTAGTGTACTTGTTGTGCCAGCGGTCGCGGGTTCGAGTCCCGCTGGGGCCATTCATTTGTGTGATGAGCACGAATGTTTGTACTCCAGTCATGGGTGTTTATATTTATAATATGTATGTATTTAAAAGTTATATATGTGTAGTGTATCAACTATATGGTGTCCATAACACAAGCCTCGTAGCTTACCATGGAACTAGATGCTGCTGTGTATTAACGTCCCAACATATTTATTTATTTTTATTTTTATATGGAATGAGTTTTGAAATGATTTATACGGGGCTAGCGGTTAATAAAAGAAAATAAACACGTATTGTGCAAAATGTTAGTAGCAGGTGGAGAGGGTGAAATGTTATGTGGAAAAATACCAGGTGTCCACGGCCAATATTATTGGCAACGAAAAAAAGATAATTTTTTATTGTTAAGATTTTTTTTATTGATTGATGGTCCTTGAGTAAAAATAATTACAAACGAAGTAAAGCTGTGCTTTTTGGCCATTATTTAGGGGACTTAAATTTGATTTAATTTTTTATCATCTATACCTATAATATAACAAAATCGAAACGGCTGGAGCGATTTTAATGAATTCTTCAGACAATCTTTAGATTAGCCCGCGGGTGATCCTGTGAAGTTTGGTAGCAATGGGAAATTTAAACGCGGGCGAAGCAGAAAGCGAATTGTATTGAAATAACTTTATTCGTTTTCATAGCATTATAATATGTCATTTCCCTATATTTTTTATTATTATTATTCTTTTTTTATTATTATTCCCTATATTCACCGTATTATTAAGCTCGCTTATAGCACTTAAGCGATTGGTATCTGAATAATTTATTTTTATCTCCACTCTGTCCTAATGTTTTAGCCAAATTTGTTTCGTTACTAACAATAATGGTTGAAACTTGTTTTAGGTAATCATTTAATATTACTTTGTGAGATTTTCCTTATAGACCAGGGTTAAAAATAATAAAAAGTGAAAAAAAATAATAGTAGGATGCAACCCATTAGAAAAGGAGGGGAATATTATAAAAATGAAAGGAAAAATAATGTATGGGCGATCTGAGGTCGGGAAGGGGATGGGGGTGAGTTTTTAAGGGTAAAAAACGGTTTTTCTCGATTTCCGGCAAAACTAAAAGTCCTATCGAAAAAAGTCATTTAGCAAAGTTGTAGGTAATAAAAAGATCTAAAACTTTTGTATTTACACATTTTTCACATAACCTCAAAATTTATGTGAAAAATTCAAAAAACCAAGTTTTTGGTTTTTTATTTTTATCTTTTACAAAAAAAAATTTTTTTAACGAAATTTGGTGAAAACTTATGTTTTATGTCCCAAATACGCTGTAATTTATTTGATTAAAAATATTTATTTTTTCACCTTATTTTGAATTAATATCGAAAAAGCACCCTAATTTTCAATCGAAAATTCACCTGTCAAAATATCAGGTTTTTTCAAAAAGTTGGTATGTTTTCAATTCTTTGAAATCTCTACTTTCCGATGGTGAAAAAAATAATATATGTTACTATAGAAAATCTTCTGAGAAAATGCAAAAAACAAAAAACCTTTTTTATTTCATACACTTGCTTATCATCTGCCTTATTGCAGATGATACAAACAGATTCATCCATACTGATAATCTGAAAAGACAAAATCGAATTAATAATGCCTTCACTATTTTATCGTGAGTATACCCCCATGAATTAAAGAAATAAATATATATAATATTAATACGGTCACTATAAAATGTTGTAACTTAACTAATTCGGTAACGATTTATGACAAAGTTGTCGGATAGATGCTTCCATAGATAGGTAATGAATAAATTAAAGTAGAAGAAATGTGTTGCGAGACTTGCAATTTTTTTACAGAATGTTTTTGATGGGATAGTGCTATTATACCATAAGTCTATATAATAAATTTTAAAATTTAATATTTTTATTTCAGGACCACATTGCAAGGGGTTTTTTTGCTCACAGACCGTTGGTTAGAGGATGCACCGCAGTCCCTCGTCCCCGATACATTGAAATTCACATTATAGTAAGTATTGACTATATTAGTGTAGTTTTTATTATTAAATAAATTATATTTTTTTTAATTTATTTATTTAATAAACAAGGACCCCTTTTACATATAAAAAAGTGATAATTAAAGATGTATCACGGTACATGTCTACATGTTTATATATTTTTATCTAATTTGCTTCATCTGTATATTTGTTATCTCAGTTCAACAATTTGTGACGTGTGTAGCGTCTCAGTTAAAACAGTACAATATAGTTGTTACTAGCATTGCCCGCGGCTCCGCCCGCGTTCAGATGACCAAAAACCAAATTCTTAGGTTTTACATATTGGCATACTCTTACTTTGCAGTTTTTCTGTTTTTTCTCAGAAATGAGATATTTTCCCGTGGTAAAAAGTATCCTATATGTTGACCCGGATAACCAGCTATCACCATACCAAACATCAAAATCCCTCCAGTGGTTTTTTTGTGATGCGGTACCTGACAGACAGACAAAACTTCTAAAAACCATAGATTCGGCGTCTGTATCGTTAATAATGTTTATTTCAATAAGATTTTCCAAAAAATGCCTAATGTAAAGATTCGGCATAGTTACAATTTTATTATATGTATAGATTAGAGTTTGGAGTGCATAAGTTAAAATACTTATAAGTTTGAAGTACTTTAATTACTGAAGTTGCAGTATAATTTTGAGGACTAACTGGCCACCTCTGTTCGGCTCGGTGTCTTTAAATGCTCGTAAAAATGTAGCGACGCATCGCTTCGAAAAGCTATCGCGTAAAGTAAGCAAAACTAAAAAAGTATGTGAAACCGTACAGTAATAATACATTTTCCAAACATTTTCCGGTAGCAGATTGAGTATAAAATCATAGCCATATAATTTTGGTTATAGTATAATCAGGTTTAAGAATTTAAAATTATTTTTTTACCCGGCTACGTGACGCAAAGAAGGGTATTGTGTTTAACAATCTATGTATGTATGTTTGTATATTTGTTCCTATATGGCGTTCTAGAAACCAAATGCGTGGGCCGGTTTTAATGATTAATACGCCGTTACATTCGTATTGTTAACGAGAGTGTCATAGGGTATGTGCATAAAAATAGTTAAAAATTAAAATGGAGGATAATCAAGTTTTTAATATCCTTAATAATAATTAAGATTAAGACGAGATATTATTATAATAACATATTAATGATTTATTTTGATCTATTTTTAGGGTTCCGTACCTTAAAAGGAAAAAAGAAACCCTTATAGGATCACTTCGTCGTCCGTCTGTCTGTTAAGTAAGACCCTTTTACTCAGGAAACGTGGAGGTATCAAGTTGAAGTTTATATCAAATACTCAAGTGTGCATTTCCTTGTAATTGTGAAAAAAATATATTTCTAAGTCAATGCAATCAAAAGATGCGGTCGCTTATACCGCATATTTTGACACTCGCAAGGGAACCAAAACCTATAGAGTACTACGTCCCGTTGACCTAGAATCATGAAATTTTGTCGAGAAGCAATGTCTTATAGTAAAAATAAAGGAAAAAAACCGAAAACCGTAAAGCGATCACAAACTTATTTTAATGTCTCATTCTACGGAACCCTCCGTGTGCGAGTCAAACTCGCACTTGTTCGATTTTTTATCGCTAAAATATATTTATAGAATATCATTTAAGGAAAGTGAGATATATTTAAATGCCTACGAGAACTATACACAATAATGCAGCCGGGGACAAAGGAAACGCACGTACTTCGTTGACCGTTTATTTCACAATGAGAGTACAAATTAATTACACCAACAATATAATACACATAAACAAATCTACCCTCATACATCACAGAAAGAATATAATATTATATATTTGTCAGACAATAACAACGGTTACCATGGCAACAATTAGTCATAATAGTTTTTATATAATTTATGCACATTTATCCCTCAGTAATAAATGTTCACTTTTATAAGTAATAATTATTATAAAAATATAAATATAATATTTTAAAAATATTTGAGAAACTACTTTGAATATAGTAATGAGTTTTTACGGGAACCGGAGAGACAGTTATCAGCTAACCTCATCATGTCGCTTTTTGGCTGTCGGTGTGCGCGCGCATCGTAAAAATTTTACTCTCACATTTTTTTCCAAACGTCCCAAAAGAAGTATAAGTTAAAAAATCCTCGATTCAATAAATTACAGCGACAGAGCCTGTATGTTATATCCATTTTAAATAAAAATTATATTGGTCAAGTTTAAGTTGGAATTACGTTTACGATTCCTACCACAGTTAACAATAAAAATTTTCACCACATTATTATAAATGCGAAAGTTTGTATGCTTGTTATTCCTTCAAGCTGAAACAAGTAAGGAAGGAAAAACAAATAAAGAATTGTAAATGATCGCGCTGTCTGTGCTATAATATTAAAAAAGTATATGTGGCAATTATGAATAAAAAATTACCTTCCTCTTACCAGTAATAGAACTGGCGACCTCTCATATTAGATAGCAATGACACATGTCAGCCTGAACTAAAATTGTAGAGTAGATTGAATTATTGTCCAATGTATCTATTTCGCGGGCAATGCTAGTGTATATTCTATATATATAGAAAAAACTGTGTACTTATTATAAAATTAAAATTCAAAACCATCATTATCTAAATATCTTTAAATATTTAAGAATTCTTCAAAAGCTATACTAACTATGAACAATAATATGAAATAACAAGAATATGCAAATATTTTTACAAAATACCATCATGTTTTATATGTTTATATATCGTGTTATCCATATTCTACAGACATCATCAGATCTTTAGTAGTAACTAATCTTGTGGGTGTTATCAGGGCTCAAATAATAAAGAATTCAATGCTCAATACAATTTAATAAGGGAAATCATAATGCTAAAACTTGAAACAGGGAAAATTAATTAAGTGAAATCACAATGTTACTGTTTAATTGAGCAGCGGGTTCTCGATACCGACCATTGACTTCCAACTATAGTATCAAAACATAACTCTCTATGATTCTCCAAGATCAACCAACTTTACTAAACCACGTATCTCCAATTATGAATGAATGTCATGATGGCGTCTCGACCCCGCTCGAGACGTAGTCTCTGCTCTAAAGCAATAAAAACTAAACTAAATAACATAGTGACTTTAAACAATAATAATATTTTACATTCTAATAGAAGTAACTAAATCCTCCTCCGACACACACACACACACACACGTATATATATATATATATATATATATATATATATATATATATATATATATATATATATATTAGTGGTGAAGCGTCCATACAAGACATCTTACCTTAAAATTAGTTTGCTATAATTAAATATAGTGAAGAATTAAAGAGAAGAGGACGACCAAAGAAAAGATGGATGGACTGTGTAGAAGAGGATATGGCTAGAAAGGGAGTAAGCAGGAAAATGATGAATGATAGAGTAGAATGGAAGAATAAAACATATTATTGCGCCGACCTTAAATAAAAATTGGGACAAGAGCAGGAAGAAGAAGTAGAAGATTTAAGAATTGAAAGAGTGATGTAACGGCTTCTTAGTATAAATAAAATTTAACCAAAAATTGAGATACGAATTTTGTTAAATTCAGGAACTATTTTTTATTGCAACCACGCTGTCCATAATTGTGTGGGACAGAGTTGCATTATGTTTTCGTTTTCCCTCCATTTGTATTTCATTTTCTGAAAGTAAAATAATATTTAATTAATATACAAATATAAATTAGCAATTAGATCAGAATTAATTAAAAAGTAACTAAATTAATTAAATATATTTTTAACTCCCCGATACAAAAGAAAGGAGCCATAAGTTTAACTTGTGTATCTGTGTGTATGTGGCATCGCAGCGCCTAAACAGATAAGCCGATTTTAATTTAGTTTACTTTTTATTGAAAGGTGATTTGATCGAGATTGGTCTTAGCTATAAATCAAAAAAATCCGTTCAGACATTTGCAGAGTATCAGTTCTTTTCTAGACGGAAAAGTATATGAACAAATTCTACAGATCTTATCGATATAAAACTTAGTATCCAGTAACTTTGATGCCACAATGGCAATCATATGGTATCCTAGGCCTAGGTGTTGCAGCGCCACTTAGAATTTTTCAAGATACTCAATTCTTTACTAAAATACTGCAGATATCATGTTTTTTTATGGGACTAAGGGGGCAAACGGGCAGGAGGCTCGCCTAATGGAAAGTGATCACCGCCGCCCATGGACATCTGCAACATCGCAGGGCTTGCAGATGCGTTGCTGACCTTTAAAGAAAGAATACGCTCTCTTCTTGAAGGTGGCCAGGACATAGCGGTACCCGGGGGAGAAGCCAACTCCTACCGGGCGCGTCCCCGGGTGGCGGATGGGGGCATGCCACCCGCTTAGAGGGGCGGGTGGTACCGGAGGAATCCGGCGCAGACCAAACGGCTTGAGTGGGGCCGCTCGTCTGGGCCTCGAACCGAAGACGTTGCGGCCACTGGTGGTGGGACCGCTTGGTTCCACAACCGGGTGATCGGTGCCGGTTGTGGGACTGTGGTCGCAGGCCCGCATCCGGCGGAGGGGTAGGCCGCGGCGGGAGAGGAGTGCCGGTATTTCGGTGCGCCGTTCTCCCTACCTTCCGCGGCCTAGACGGGGCCGCCACCGTTTGATGGCGCACGCGGTGGGGCTGCAGGGGAAGAGGAGTGTCAGTGTTTCGTTGCCGCTCTCCCTGTCCTCTGCAGCCGATTGGAGGTGGCCCACTTCGGTGGGCGGAGGTTAGATATAATGGGGCTGCTCAGGGGACCTCTCTGGCGTAGCAGAGTTAACTGTGGAGCAGCCCCATTGGTTTGGTGGTCTGCCTAGCGCTTAGGCAGACCTGCCGCCGGGGCGCCGTAGTAATTATGCGCAAGCGATCCTGCGGCGTCCCACTAAGGCGGGGGGAAGGGATGTCGGGTTTTAGTGGGTAGTACCGGCTCTTCTAGCCGGTGAGCCCTACATCACCACCTGGGGGATCAGGTGGTCTGCG